TTGATTTAAAAATATGTTTGATTTTTAACAACTTGTTGGCTCTCATCTGCTTGTCAATGAAATGTGACTCTGACTCAGAGAATTGAATACTGCTGATAGTTTGGGAGGAAAAGATCTCTTTTGCTCACAAATGGCCTCTGAGCCTTTGACAAGCCATCAGATGTTGCTTATTTTTCTTGCATGGAGGGAATTGCTGAAAATCATCACTTTTGATGATTAAGTACTTTTGTTTTTTACAGCAAGACCTACCATGAATTAATGTATTATTCTCCTCCTAGTGAGTCTGCCTGAGACTCCGGTTCTTTTTTTGGGCTAAATTGGCAATCCTTGATTTCTTAGCCAATCTCAAATGCATATTGTTAGCGTTCAGGCTATGAGTCCCAGAGAGTTATTAAGTGATTTAGGAGAGCGCAGGAGCTCTGCGATCTGTCCGGGAGAGGCAGGATCCTGGCTGCAGGACATCTCGGGTTCTCAGCAGGCGGCTGATTTTCTCCAGGAAAAAATGTTCTATGCTTTGAAGGGTAAAACAACTAAAGACAAATGCATTTAATTCAAAGGAAAAAATAATTGTATTTATTCCAAGAAAGGTTGGTTGGTTGGTTTTTTCCTTTTAGCAAGAGTGATGGTGGTAAACACTCCCAAAGGCGCATGAACCCCCCAGTGCCCCACCGGTACAGACTTACGAACCGCCGTAGGTTTCCCTTCGACTTAATCTTTTGGAAGATCTGAAAAGTTCAGCGTGCCAAACTCTTGCTTTAAATAATTCATGTGTTCTTGATAGAAGAGAAGCAAAAATGTCTATCTAGCTTCAGTTTATTCTAAACGGGACTTAAAGAAAACATGCCCAACGAACTCATTACTTACCTCTACCAAAACTCAAGAGTGGCATAGACAAGAACTTGTCTCTGCTGACTGTTTAAATTATAGTTTTAAGGATTGTCGGTAGCAGATTGGACTGGAATTGAGGACTGACCACAAAATTCAGTATGTGTGCTTTAAAGTTAGCAGTTGGAAAAAATCTGTGGTAGGCACAAGTTTTAATTTAAAGCTATGGAGATATTTCTTAAATAGCTGCAGAATTCATGAATAAAATGTGAATTATTTTTCTGGTACAGTGATGTGCTTAGAAGACTGTAGCTGAAGGAATTAGTCATAAAGTTTTACCTTGAGGAGACTGAGGGATGCAGTGAAAAAGCAAGCTGATGACTTCAAGCCAGAACCCATGTAAAATAACAGAAAAGTATTAACAAAGCAATGGGACGGTCAATTCTGAAGGTGGAGCCCAAACTTGAGCATTGCTGTAGTCATATTCTCACCTATCATTTTTCAAAATGAATATGCAAAATGCTTCCTCTATTGATTTTAAGGCAGCTGAGAGTGATTTATCTTTTTATTTTTTTAAAACCATTATAGTCTTGAATAAAACCTATACCACTTTTGAAAACCCTCATTATCCTGATGTCCTCTCCAAGGTATTCCTGCCACCAGAGAACCTGATGCTATTCTGGGATGAATAACAATGATTCTCCAGGCAGTCAAAACTGAAAATAAACCAATAAATAAAAGCAATGTAGAAAAAAGGGGGTCAAAAAAGGGGGTCTTGGTAAGGACTCGAGCACAGGGTTTTTCACAGAAATGTGGTGCAACAAAGCCAGCAGCAATGGCTCAGTGCTAAGAGTTATATCAGGTATTGCATTTCCATAAGTGCACCTGGAAAATGTTTTTTTTAGGTGTCTTTGTGATTTCCTTTTCCCAGTTCTGTATTGGCCCAAAAATAGCAATGGTTCTTTTCATGAGTCACTCCACATAATAGACAGGTGAATGGGCCAAGTTTTTTTAAAAAAAATCATAACTCCTTCTAATAGAAAAGATGGAATTTGGAGTCTGAGATTCATTTTTACCATTAGAGCCCTGATTAAAAAAAAAATAGTTTCTCAATATCAGAGCATAATTTTACTCTTGTATGTAGAACATGTGCATTTTTAACTACTGACAGGAGTGTGGGGGGAGGATTATTGAGAAATCTGTTAGACTTTAGAAAATGTAATTTTTTTGCTGAGAAGTTAGTGTGTACCAGATTTGCAGAATTTACTTTGTGTAGAAAGCATTTTGCTCAAAGTCTGTCTGTGTGTGTGTTTCAAAACTTCTCGTTTAGAGCAAGCAAATGAATTTTGAAGTCTCCCTTTCTCAGATCTTCCTGACAAAACTGGTTTTTCTCCTTAGGAAAACTTAATTCAAAGCAAATTGTATTTGGTGACTAGTATAATTTTGGAACCCCATGCTTTGCAGTACATTAGTAGCCAAATAACATACATTTTATTTTTATTACTAAAACTAATGAATAAGCAAGTGATAATTCTGCCTCCTGATTTTTTAACTCCATGCGCTGATGCAACATCATTCATGCAAGAAAAAGTTATTGCAAATACATTTGTGAAATGCAAAAGAGAATGACCCTACTGACCATTTCAGAATTCAGTCCTGAGCAGTTATAAAATTAGAGATTTTTAATTCAGAAATCTTGTCTTGAAGTTAGGTTGGCTTTTGGGGTGAGTTTTTCATGATCTAGAGTTGAAGTATCTCCCTGCCTGTGTTCCTTCGGCAATCCCCAACTAGCACCTGCCAGGAACATGAAGCTCGTTCACGTCTATGGTGAGAGCGGTGGTAGCGTCACCTTCTCCAAAACCTCCCAGAGCTCATACCTGGAAAGAAGCAAGACCAGGTTTGGGTGTCCTGGTGTCTGACCGTGTCCCCATGTTTGGATATGAGCTTTCTGCTCACGCTCTCAAAGTATTACTGTGGTGTCATCAGGAGTGCCCAAGAGTCACAGAGCCAACAAGAGAGTTTCTGGAGACCCAGAAATTGCCACTGGCTTTAATGGGGCTGTCCTGCACAGCAAAGCTCCAGTGCCACAAAGCTGCTTAGTGTCTCCTCCACTGTGGAGAGGGGATTTGGAAAAAATGGTGAGCTTTGTTTAAGAGCTTTAAAGTAAAAGCTGTGTTTTGGAAAACAAAACAAAACAAAACAAAACAAAACAAAACTCTGAAGTATTTTGAAACTTTCTAGAGACTTTTTTTTAGACCCGCTAAGTTGGAAAAATAAATGGTCCAGTGACTACTTGCTAATTCATCTGCATGTGCAGCTGCAAAATTATTTTCTGTGCACATAGTGCAAAACTTCTTCCTAAATATGAGGTTTAGAGACCCTTTGGGAGTAATTAACTATAATGCAGAAGCAAATCTGGGTTCGTTGTACACACTGCTCATTTAAGAAATGGTTTTGTGCGCAAAGCCCATTAGTAAGTTTCCAAAACCTCCATGAATGTTAAACATTTTATTATGGGACTCTGAGTGCTACTTATTTTACATAAAATCTAATGTAATCCCATGCATTACATTTTGCTTTTGATCCCTGGATAGGAAATTGCTGTGTCACATGTGTGCCACTGTATCCAAGGGCTAAAATCTGGCTTTTATTTAGTTATTTATTTCACAGTAATAGTACAGCTCTTTTTTCCTGGGGACTGCACAAAAAGTTGGGGATATGCTCAACATCAGTTGCATGCTCTTGATCTTATTCTACTTACTGGTCGGCTTCCATGCAGTGCATGTGGGGTTTTTTCTTGTTGTTGTTCTAACTGCCTTCCCTGTGTGCATTAGTGCTGCACCTTACGTGGTCGTTGGGATCCCGGCGCTGATATAGCGGAAATGCAAAGCAAAGCTGCTGTTTGCATCAGTTGTACAGGACTGGCAGTCAAAACGATTGAGTTCCTGAGGGTGTAATTTAGCCAGGATTTGGAATAGGTGCCCTTAGGCTCAGTGGGTGTAGGCATGTGCCTGAAGTGAGGAGTATGTTTAATTTGCTGATGCATTAGGTCGATGCATGAGGCTGATGGACTCCTTCCGAGGCAGCAGCGTGATGCTTTCTGCCCTGTGGTACATGGGCAGGCAGGGGACGTAATCTGTCCCCGCCGCCGGATAATTTGTGAAGAAGCATAAATCACATGAGGCGCTCTGGGAAAATCCGTCCTACCAACTGCATGCGATGAGGGTGCTGATACTTGCCCGTGCTGGGCAGTAGGCTGGTGGGACTGGGCTTACTGGCTCAGCTGTGTGCTGGTGATCGGCATGGAAGCACGGCGGCACAAAAACAGGTGAAAAAGAGCAGAAATAACCACTCAGCTTTTATGAAATGTCGTTCTTTCTCTTCTCTAAACTCTTTGTTATCTGTTTGTTTGGAGAGATTGACAGCATAGTATCGTATAATCTTACCTGATATATATTGCGTCTTATCCACCATTTATTTCCAGTTAAAAAACCAAACTATAGTCTTCATTATTATAGGAGGGTTAATCGTTAACATCTGAAGATTTTGAAAACACCTGTGCTTTATCTCAGAATGTGCAAAATATACCCAAACACTTCCATTTAAGGTGCTGGTTTATGCTGTGCTTTGGCTGCACTATCTGGATTGGTTGGAATTTCGTGCAATTACTATTTTACGCAGCGGCAGAGTATCTGTGAAGTGGCTATCAATTGGAACATATTTTGCTCTTCAGACTTGCTTTTACAGGTTTCACAAAACATTTAATTAGGGATAATCAGCTTCTAACCATCCAGAGCACACTGATGTGAGTCTCTCCCTCTCTTCCCCCATAATTGTAAGCATAGTCTGTACCCATAAGATAAATTACTCGCAGTCTGGAGAACATCCTAGCCAGCAAGAAGGGAGAGAATAAGAATGTGATTTGCATGGGGATAAAGAAGGTGGTGTGCGTCCTGCGATTTCAGTGAAGAATATACTTTTTCTTTCCTTTTCAGAATGGTGGACCTGGGAACCAGCTGGAGATTGCAAAGTCTCCTTTCCCTCGAGGTTGCTGGTCAGTGGTCATCTTCCACCACCCCCACGGAAACCAGAAGAGCTCCACGTTAACTTCTCCGAGGCTTGCTTCACTATGGAAGATCAAATGATTTTCTGGCTCAGGTTTTGTGAAGTTCGGCATCTGCCTTGGACCTGCAGTTCGGAAAAGGGATCATCTCTGAGGCACGGTTAAGAGACGGAAAACCAGTCCCAGACGATGAGCACTTTAAGTAGCACTGGAATATTACTCAGCTTAACGACAGTGTCTGTTACGCTGGATTTTAGTTTGCATGGTGGTCTGATGGCTTGGTCCTTAAGCAGCAATTTGACTCTGAATCAGAGTTTACCTACATCTGATCCTCTTAATGCCTCTGAGAAGGGCGAAGTCTCTCGGATGTCTGTGAGGGAGAAGAACTGGCCGGCCCTCCTGATCTTGGTTGTCATCCTGCTGACCATTGGGGGGAACATATTGGTAATTATGGCTGTGTCCTTGGAGAAGAAGTTGCAGAATGCCACAAACTTCTTCCTGATGTCCTTGGCGGTGGCAGACATGCTGGTGGGTATCCTGGTCATGCCCGTGTCGCTCATTGCAGTCCTGTACGGTAAGTGGCTTCCCTCCTTGTTTGGCTATACACTTTCACAGGGAATCCCCCAAGGCTGCAGCAATCTGCTTTGCCTGATTTTTCACGTGTTGGTAGCTTGGGGAGTACCAGTGTGGACTCGGCCATGGGTCTGTGCTGAGGTTCACACTCTGCTGGCTGAGGGTGTTGCTCTGCTGGGAGCAGAGCCGGTTTCCACGCTGCCGGGAATGACCCGGGAACGATGTGGCCTTCGGACTTTTTTTTTATTGCTGAGACCACCCAGAGAAACTGCAGCCGTGAGTCAGCTTTTTACCTTTTGGTTGGACTGCCCCAAAATTAGCCAGGACACGAGAGCTTCGGGAAAAGCTGAGCAGCGTGTCTGTGACTGACCCGGCTCTAAGCCAGGTCAGAATCAGTCCTGGAGCTCCCACTGAGATCAGTGGGATTTGAGCAATAATGCGGTTAAGAAAGGAGGTTTGCACTAGTAGGTTTGGCATTCAAATAAAGGCCTCCACTCTTGGCATTTGTACCTTGTGCTTTGTGCCTTTCAGGGGGCCATTTTGCCTTTCTGTGCCTCAGTTTCCCTGTCCCTAACCTGAGAAAACGCCCTCCCCTTTAAAACACTGACATCTGCCTGGATGGGTGTCAGCATTTGTTGCTCCCCACCATAGCGGGGGCGGTGTGTTTGCCCTGCACTCAAGTGTAGAATCACTGTTAGCACTTCCAAGGAGTAAAATATCCAACACATCCAACTTTCTCATCTGTCTGAGACTCCGAATCCAATTATTTTTTTTTCGGGGTGGTGCTAGGACTCTCCGTCCCTGGATATTACAACAGGCTATTGCATTCGCCTCTGTATCTCTGATCATCATGTGTGTATATTCGCGTATCAATATAATGTGTGTGTGCTTAATAGGTAACACTTAATCATTTTTGAAGCCTGTTTTCAGATTTTCCTTGAGAAGTATTTTTAATATTGATATTTCTTGGAAACAAATAATGCTGTTTACTTACAGATTTGATTAGAAATTGGTTTACTGACCTATAAAGTAAAATGTAGGGATATTTATGTGACTTCTTCCCTTGCCTAAATGATTAAGTCAGACAGAGATTCATTTCTAAAACACATTGATCAAGCATACATAATTCCAGAGCTTATATAACTTGTCCACAGTGAGTTAAATCAATATGTGATTTAGGTACAGACCTCGTCATTGAGATCTTGTGCATAAAGCTTTTTATTTTGGGCTGTCAGAATAGTTCCATCTCTAAATCTTCTCTGTATTACAACATGTGTATTTTATTTTTAGCATTTTACTCCGGTTCCCTGGAGCTTGAAAGGGAGCATATAAATACTGAATGATTTGATTGACCTGCACTTGCATAAATTCTGGGTTACCCAGTGACTCTAAAAAGGTGGATTTATAGAAGTGATCTTCCTACATACATACTTTCTGAGTCTTTGGAAACTAATGGAAATGGATTTTCTGTTCGGCCTAGAAAATGATTACTTAAGGTCGTTTAAAGGTGTAAACCATGCTGCATATTTAGAAGCAAGTAAATATCATTGATCTGAAGAGGAATTGTAATTATCCCTCTTTTTCTACCAGCGCACCGGTATTAGCTGTTGATGGCTCAAACACTTCACCACAGGCAAATGGCACTAAACAGATTTTTATTTATTTTTGCCGGAGCCGTGCCGGGTGCTGGTGCTGCTCCCCTGGCCCAGAGCAGCCGTGTCACCTTTGGGCTTTGCGAGGGGACGAGGAGAAGGTCTGTGTGGGGAAAATGGAGCTTCAGGGGAAATTGTGGCCTGATTTGAATAGGATCCCTGTGAAATCCCTTTTCTATATTATTTAAGCTACTAATTGTGGAAGTGAACAGCCAGGGCTGTGCAGCTCCAGCAGCAAGGGGAGAACGCTGATTATTTGCTAACACATCCTGAAAATAAACACTTGGTTTGATACCCAGAAGCTAAAGGGCATGGACTGACTGGGGATGTCTGAGAGAGGACCAGAGGTAAAAGGCTGATGTTGTGTCAAGGGCATCTCTCCTCTTTAAACCCACCATAACATGTGGATGCGCTTTTATGGGCGTCTAGAAAAATCATTTCAGATGGAAGACCAACAGGGCACATCAGCAACCTCAGCAACCTCTTGACCCCAGGGGTCAATACGTGGTCCAATCTTGTTCAATATATTCATCAATGACCTGGATGAGGGGACAGCGTGTATCCTCAGCAAGTTCGCTGATGACACCAAACTGGGAGGGGTGGCTGACTCTCCAGCTGCCATCCATGCCATCCAGCGTGACCTGGACAGGCTGGAGAGCTGGGCAGGGAAGAACCTAATGAGGTTCAACAAAAGCAAGTGCAGGGTCCTGCACCTGGGGAGGAAGAATGCTAGGCACCAGTATACGTTAGGGGCAGACCTGCTGGGAACTAGCTCTGAGGAGAAGGATTTGGGGGTCCTGGTAGATAGTAAATTATCCATGAGCCAACAATGTGCCCTTGTCGCCAAAAAGGCCAATGGAATCCTGGGCTGCATAGGGAAGAGTGTGTCCAGTAGGTTGAGGGAGGTCATTCTCCCCCTCTACTCGGCACTGGTGAGGCCACAACTGGAATACTGTGTCCAGTTTTGGGCTCCCCAGTTCAAGAGGGACAGGGAACTGCTGGAGAGAGTCCAGCGAAGGGCAACCAAGATGAACTACTTACAAATATCTAAAGGGTGGGTTGAAGGAGGATGGAGCCACACTCTTCTCGGTGGTTCCCAGTGACAGGACGAGGGGCAATGGGCACAAGTTGGAACACAGGAAGTTCAGTTCAAATTCAAGGAAAAACTTCTTTACAGTTCGGGTGACAGAGCAGTGGCACAGGCTGCCCAGGGAGGGGGTGGAGTCCCCTTCTCTGGAGATTTTCAAAACCCGCCTGGATGCAGTGCTGAGTGATGTGCTCTGGGCAGTCCTGCTTTAGCAGGGGAGTTGGACTAGATGATCTCTAGAGGTCCCTTCCAACTCTGAAAATTCTGTGGTTCCATGATTTGATGGTTCGCGTAAATAAAACATTCAAGAGCACAGAGGGAAAGCAGGTTAAACCTGTCACTCATCACTACTTGGAAGGTGGAGGAAATACAGCCGTGTCTTCCTCAGCTTCATGTGCGATTGAGCCACCAAGCTTCCCACAGTTCTGCACCCATTTCTGGTGGTGGCAGGGAGGGGAGGGTGGATATCGTCTGTATTACACTTGGCGGGGTGGACCGGTTCTTACGGCAACACGAGGCAGCAGCTGGAAAGGCTCTTGGCAGAGTCGCAGCATTAACGAATACTGTTATGATAACCGACAGCCTCCAGAGATCTATCACTTATTCTGGAGTCTGTTTTATCTCGTGTCATAAGTAGCAGTTCTGCACTGTTGCACACAGCGGTTTTGAGGAGAAAATCTGGCCTCGCATGTAATGCGGGGTTTCTTGGCTTAGTTTGCTTTGAGCTATAGTTTTTGGAAAAAAAGGTTCTTACAGCAGCCTGCAAGCGCTCTGGATGCCACAGTGCCTAGTAGGACACTGGACTTCAGCTGGTTTTCTAAGAGCTAGAGGTCAGGACATCCAAACATACACAAATGCTTCAGTAGGTTTTATATTCTGTTTGATGTGGTAGCACAGAAACCACTATCAGCAATTAAAGGGGAAAATATTCACACATCAGCAGAATTCCTCTGCGAGTAACCGGGCTCATGGCCACAGGACCGATCAGGGAGAGCGTTACTGCTTGGAGACGTAATTGTGAATGTTCGGTCATTTTTACTCTGTATATTTTACTCTATGCGTTCTATATAGTCTACATGTTACGCCACTGGGCTGTTTGAAAAGCTGCAGTATGCTGTACGGAGAAATGTATGCAGCACATCTTTTCTGGATTTGTAGAAGTCACTTTTAAATTATATAATCAGAAAGGAATATTAAAAAATACGTATAATAAATAGAAAAGTGATGGAGTTGCTTTTAAGTTCCCACATCAGTTCTCTCAGCCCCACTGATACATTCTAGTTTGCAGAATAGGTTCCTTTCCTTACTTTTCAGCTAATGAGGTAGATGAAGTAGATTTGACTTCAAGCATAACCAGAAAATCAAATAGACACCCTCCACAAAGACTTGTGGTTTTCAGTGGTTTTCTTTTCTTAATTAAAAGATGGAAAAATCAAGTTGTCAGTTAATTCAAGAATCTTATTACAAAGGAAGGGATGGCAGGATGCATCATGCTGGATTTTTCACCAATTAGTCAGCGATCTGATATACTTATCAATTTGTCTCTCTTAAATGTCTTGGACTAATCGATGAGTTGCATTTGACAACTTAGAATGTTTTCCATGGCATGTGGTTTCTAAGGAACTAAACAAATTAGTACGCTAATTAATAAGCATGTATTGGGGAGAGTAAATGAGAAATTAACACCATGTTTAATCTCGATGGAGAAGCTTCTGTTTAATTAAAAATCCTGGTGTGATAGGGCATCAGGTATTCTGCACGTAACAGAGCTTTGGGCAACACGTGGAGGTTGTCTCCTCACCTCGGGGTGTTTTAGGGAGAGGCAGTGGTGGGTTCGCGCCGTGCCTGGCGTTCTGGGGCAGGGCAGAGACGGCTGCTCTGCGTCCGCCGGGACAAGCGAAGGAGCGCAAGCGGATCTCATCGGCTCATCTGAGTGGAAATTACAGAAGGCATTAAAACTTCCTTTGTTCTACTGAAATGGCTCCAGAGCTGCGCAGGAGTCGCCAGAGTGTGGCCAGCAAGGGGCCAACACGCTCATCCATGGCTCCGGGTGCCCAGGCCCCTCTCTTTTTCTCTTTGGGTTTCAAAAAACCCACTGTAATGCTGGTGGCCTGATGCAGCTTCCAGGAAGGCCGGTGTTAGATTCAGCATCCATTAGCCCGAACTGCTGGAGCAGCTTTACATCCAGATTATTATTATTATTGATAATTATCATCATTACTGCATGCTGACAGAGATGCGCTGAGCACTTGTGGCAGACTT